GTGACGTGGTGATGAAGCCTGCCTTCAGTTGCCGTTTGAGGTCCTGCAGGAGCAGCTGTCTGACAGCTTTCCTGCTCAAAGGCTCTGTATCTGTATGCTGTGATACACTATATATACAAAAGTATGTGGACACCCCTTCAAATTAGTGGATTAGGCTATTTCAGCCACACCCGTTGCTGACAGGTGTATAAAATTGAGCACACCGCCATGCAAACATTGGCAGTAGAATGGCCCGTACTAAAGAGCTCAGTGACTTTCAACGTGGCACCGTCATAGGATGTCACCTTTCCAACAAGTCAGTTTGTCAAATTTCTGCCCTGCTAGAGTTGCCACGGTCAACTGTATGTGCTATTATTGTGAAGTGGAAACGTCTAGGAGCAGCAACGGCTCAGCCATGAAGTGGTAAGCCACAGAAGCTCACATTACAGGACTGCAGAGTGCTGAAGCACGTAGCACGTAAAAATTGCCGGTCCTTGAACACTCACTACTGAGTTCCAAACTGCCTCTGGAAGCAACGTCAGCACAATAATTGTTCGTCGGGAACATTATGAAATGGGTTTCCATGGTCGAGCAGCCACACACAAGCGTAAGATCACCATGCGCAACACAGGAGGTTGGTGGCACCTTAATTGGGGAGGACAGGCGGAATGGTATCAAATACATCAAACACATGGTTTCCATGTGTTTGATGCCATTCCATTTGCTCCGTTCCGGACATTATTATGAGCCGTCCTCCCCTCAGCAGCCTCCACTGATGCGCAATGCCAAGCATCGGCTGGAGTGGTGTAAAGCTTGCTGCCATTGGACTCTGGAGCAGTGGAAACGCGTTCTCTGGAGTGATGAATCACGCTTCACCATCTGGCAGTCCGACGGACAAATCTGGGTTTGGCGGATTCCAGGAGGACACTACCTGCCCGAATGCATAGTTTGGTGGAGGAGGAATAATGGTCTGGGGCTGTTTTTCATGGTTCAGGCCCCTTAGTTCCAGTGAAGGGAAATCTTAACGCTACAGCATACAATGACATTCTAGACGATTCTGTGCTTCCAACTTTGTGGCAACAGTTTGGGGAAGGCCCTTTTCTGTTTCAGCATGACAATGCCCCCGTGCACAAAGCGAGGTCCATACAGAAATGGTTTGTCGAGATCGGTGTGAAAGAACTTGACTGGCCTGCACAGAGCCCTGACCTCAATCCTATCGAACACCTTTGGGATGAATTGGAACGGCAACTGCGAGCCAGGCCTAATCGCCCAACACCAGTGCTCGACCTCACTAATGCTCTTGTGGCTGAATGGAAGCAAGTCCCTGCAGCAATGTTCCAACATCTAGTAGAAAGCCTTCCCAGAAGAGTGGAGGCTGTTATAGCAGCAAAGGGGGGACCAACTCCATATTAATGCCCATGGTTTTGGAATGAGATGTTCGACGAGCAGGTGTCCACATACTTTTGGTCATGTAGTGTAAATAAGATACATAACGAATATACTGTAGCCTACAGACGTGCAAATGTAATTCCACATAATTATGCTAATCTACCAATAGACCAGTCAAATGTATTTACATCAACGGGTATTTCCATAAATGAATAGGCTAAAAAGAATTATTTCGCAATGGGATTTTTTCTTCTTCCCCCTGACAATTGGCCAGCGGCAATTTTACTTATCGGCTTTTCTATTTTTTATAGGCCAAAAGCCACCTATTACCGGCTAACGGAAACCCTGGTGTGCACGTTTGCGTGCCTGCATTTGAATGTGCGTGTATGTCACAGTCATTCCCAAACTAAATAACACAACAACAACTGGTTCATGAGTACACCAGTCTGCCAAGCGGCAACGATTGAAACTACATCACCCTACATCAATAGGCTTTTTGATATCCTCAAGGTAGGGTTGGTTGGTACACACAGTGTGCTCAATCATTCACAATCATTATCTACCTTAGATTGGGAAGTTTAGCTGACTGTTGATACACAAAGCTATAAATCTCCCACTCAAAGAAAGACAAAGATGCCAATAGAAAATAGTGCCCTATAACGATATCCAGTGCTATCACTTTGCCAATGATTCTGAGACTGGCAGAGATCATAAAAATAAATAGCTATTGCCAGTAGGGCCAGAAGCTACTGGTATTATTCCACTACCAGAGGCATACAGACAACGGAAATGTGTAGCTTGGGGGGAGACATTTAGTGAAGGTTGAACATCCTTATTTATGTCACAGTGATCAGTGCATGTTCTATTTCCCTTGTTCTACTACATTTGGGTCACTCTGCAGCGCCTAACATCATAAAAACAAGCATCCCTCAACTATGAAAAATCAAAAGATAAACGGTTCCTTTGTAAAATACTGTCAGTGATCCCTGCACAGCTGGAAATCCTCTCCTCTAATCTCCCATCCCCTCGACCTCTCTTTTTTCCTTCCTCTCCCTCCCTCTTGCTCCCTCTCTCTTCTTTCCTCTTTCCCGACTCCTTCCCTCCCTCCTGTTTCCCACATGTTCCTCTACCCAGTCCCACACTGTCTTACCTGTCCAGCACATCCCCTCCTTCCCCTTCCCCTCTCCTGTGTCTCCCCTCTGCATTCCTTTCCAACACACTAACGTACCTCTCCCCCCCACTCCCCCAAGTCCTCCTACCTGTCCAGTCCATCCCAGTCCCAGGAAGCAGGTAGGGTCATGCCTCTGGCTCACACAGAGCTACAGCAGCCTGGAGCCACAATCACATACTGTCTTGGTCTCACCCCTAACCCCTGTCTGACGTCTGACCCCACGTCAACCTCTGGTTCACAGCTGGTGAGAACAATTGAAGGTCAATTGAGGCTGAGAGCTGCTATACATCCATTGGGTGCTGATGTGAAATGTACTTCCATTCAGTAGTATGTTCTTCCCAGAGAGGGGGTCAATCAAACGGCCTGGCAAAGCTGATGATCCTCAGACCAGATGATCACACTAGGAGAATGTGTAGTCTAGAAGCCGTTGCTGGCTGACCTCCAGTGTGACTCCAAAAGAACCGTCTTTCTCCTGCAACACTGCAGACTTTGAGATAGAATCCAACAGACTTTTAATTCAACAGAAGATTTGCTCTCTGAACTTGAGACAAACTTGATGCAGTGTGATCTTCTTGTCTGTATCTCTTACAGGGATTTGCTTTCTTCAGTTCCACAACCTCCAGGCTATGATCTGTGATCCGTCTACTGTGCTTGGAAGTATTGAGTATCCAGTTTTCCTCAAAACTGTCTTCTCTCTCCAGTATCTGTCTTCTCTCTCCAGGATTCCTTTCAATTCAACAGAAGATTTTCTCTCTGAACTTGAGGTTGTGAAATCTTTCCGCCTGTATCTCCATGAATCCTCTCTCTCTAGCTGCCTGATCCTCAGTGGGAATGGACAACGGATATACAGATCTGCTCTCTGTGAATCTCTGTTCCCACCTCCCTAACACACTTAGTTCGACATACCTCTCCCTCTTATTTCTTGACCTCTCTCTCTCTCTCGCCCTCTCTCTCTCTCTCTCAGCCCTATATTTCTATTAACCCCCTATCTCTCCCTCTTTCTCTGCCTCTCTCTCTGTCTCTCTCTCCCCCCCCCTCTCTCTGTTTGGGGAGTGTGTGTAAACTACCCAACGCTCCCACTAACATACCAGCACTTCCCAGGAAGAGAGAGATTAGAAGGAGAGAAAAGACAAGGTTGGTTGTACATATCAGGCGGAGGAGGGAGGGTGCGGGACCTGTCTCAACAAGAGAGAGAGAGAGGACGAGAGAGAGAGAGGGAGAGAGAGAGAGAGAGGATGAGAGAGGGAGAGCGAGAGAGAGAGAGGAAGAGAGAGAGGGAGAGAGAGAAGTGGGGAGAGAGAGAGAGAAAGAATGCACGCAAGGTTGACGCTGCTAAGTCATGAACCCCTTGCATGATCATGAGGAAACTACCTTAGGGTGAGGCGTGGTGTCCCCTGTAGCTCAGTTGGTAGACCATGGCGCTTGCAACGCCAGGGTTGTGGGTTCGTTTCCCACGGGGGGCCAGTATGAAAATGTATGCACTCACTAACTGTAAGTCGCTCTGGATAAGAGCGTCTGCTAAATCACTAGAATGTAAAAAGGTTAACTAATGCCTAGGCTTTCGCTCAGCAGGCTAACACAGTCTTGTGACACACTGCTAACACGGGGGTTCAAACTCAGTCAGTCACATACAGTATCATCATGTGTATGAATATAACTTCATAGGTGTGACAATAGCTGTGTGTCAATAGAAAGTTAGCATTGCTGACATTCCTGTCCCTCTCACAGGCCTTAGCTTGCCATTACAAGTGCCCCCTCAACATGCTACTGTCATACTATTGATAGAGTCCTACTGGAGCCAATTGGACCCCACGCCCACACGCACACATACACACACACCATGGTTCCACCTTTCGCATGCAAAGGTTCAGGCAGGCCTTTGAAGAGGTAGCTGTCTTTGGTGTTGGCCCACCGTCACACAATGAGCTGAACACACAATCCAGCTACACGGAGCTCCGATGGATTCACAGTGGCCTTGATGTGGGAGGCCAGGTAGCTGCTCTTTATGAGTCATTGTGTGTGTATAAAGGGTGGTGGGTGGAATGTGTGAATGCATCCTCTATGCGTCATGGAACAGTCAAAAACATGAAAACATAACACACAACAGATGTGGTCCCTGTGTGTTGTTTTGAGGATTCATCCTTAAACACAGATGATTTGGTGAGCGAATTGCTGGAAGTTTGCGTCATATCTTCAGGGGATTCTTACATTGTTGTATTGAGGATTCTTACATTGTTGTATTGAGGATTCTTACATTGTTGTATTGAGAATTCTTACATTGTTGTATTGAGGATTCTTACATTGTTGTATTGAGAATTCTTACATTGTTGTATTGAGGATTCTTACATTGTTGTATTGACACATTATCTTAATATTTTCCTTCTCTCTCTTCCCTTGTTCCTTCTTTCATCCTTCTCTATCTTTCTCCATATGCCTCCTCATCCCCTCCCCCCTCTCTCTCTTACTTGATGATTTGTTTCGGGATGGACGAGCGGCGGCGGGTGACCAGTTTAGGGACACAGGAGCGCCTGCGGAGCACAGACGCCCGTCGGGGGCCCCTCTGGCCCTTAGGAGGGACCGTGTTGACCCGCTTGAAATGCACCCTCTTCTCACTACACACACACACACACCAGACCGAGGAAAGCCGAGGAGGCGTGTAGGCAGAGCGGGAAGGAGAAGGAAGAGACACAAAGAGGAAGGAGAGAGAGTGGGAAATAAAGGAGAGGAGTAAAAAGAGAAATTAAAAGAGTTTAAGTTCAGATCAGCTGGAAAAGAGTAAGAGTCAGTTAGTAAAAGTGAGTGTTATTTAGAAAATATATTCAGGGAATGCAGAAATCATAGTAGTGAGCAGTTAAGCAATGAGAGTGGAAGGTGTGGTGTGTCAAACACGCATGTGCATGTGTGTGGTCTCACCTCTTGATGGTCTGTGTGATGGAGGGCTGGTGCTGCAAGGGGGGTTGGAGATAGTTGCTGGGGTCAAAGGTTGCGATTCCTGATTGTATGTTCTCACCGGGCATGCTTACACTGCGCAGGAACCCCTGCCTCTTCACCGGCTGCAACACACACCAGACAACTAAAAGACATTGCACCTCAAAAGCTGAGTGGACTTACTGTAGCTGGTCTCTATTGCTTGTATTGAATCTGTATTGAACCTGTATGTAGGCCAGATTACAGTAACTGTACCTGTATGTATGAATGTGTGTGGAGTGTGTGTTGTACCTGTATACGTGTGTGTTCAGTGTCTATCCAGTTGGATTGTATCTGTAATGTAAGGGGTGTGTGTGTGTGTGTGTGTGTGTGTGTGTGTGTGTGTGTGTGTGTGTGTGTGTGTGTGTGTGTGTGTGTGTGTGTGTGTGTGTGTGTGTGTGTGTGTGTGTGTGTGTGTGTGTGTGTGTGTGTGTGTGTGTGTGTGTGTGTGTGTGTGTGTGTGTGTGAATGTGTGAGCGAGAGAGAGAGAGAGGCGTGTCATCATACCTGTATGAATGTTGAGGGCTCATCCAGGGACAGCTGTGGGGGGATGTCCACTCTGAGCCATGGAGGTTTCTTCCTCTGCAGACTACTGCTCTCCTGGGGCTGGCTCTGGCCGGGTTCAGCCATCCTCTCTACCACCCCCTACCGTGCTACGCCTGCCAGCTGGAGACACAGGGAGAGAAGGAGAGATGTGAGACAGAAGTTCAGAACACACACACACACATTGTAGCCGTATTACAGATAACCCCAGTGATCTGACTCAGAGCAGAGCGCATGAAGCAGCTTTATTGAGTACTTTTCATTATTGGGAAGTTGGCTGATCCTAATGCTGGCGATGCTGCCAGTCAACCTAACACAGACTGTGTGCCCTCCAAACTGGAAACACCCTTCCCTGTGTCCGCTGTCTGTCTGCCCATCTGGACACAGCCTCAGATTTAGTCTGCTCTGTCTGGGCTCTCTCTATGTATATTCACTGTCTCTCTTCCATTCTTTGTAGTCATATATCTTTGTGTCGGGTATGCTATCGCTGTACCACTGCATCAAAATCAAATCAAATTTTATTGGTCGCATACACATATTTAGCAGATGTTATTGCGGGTGTAGTGAAATGCTTGTAGCAAAGCAGACCTATGATTTCCATGGACTGTGTGTTTATTAAGACTTTGTACTAGTATATTCTCCCACAAGGGGGCAATGATTGCCTCAACAAGTTCTCCTCATCCAACCCCACTCAATGTTGCACTGTATTTACGCTAAGTCTTTGAACTCGGCCACCCCTAAGGATGTTCACACACACACACACACACACACACTGCCGTCAGCACCGGAACCACTGCATCAAAGGAACAGCCTGATAATTAGGGGCTCCACTCCACACATACATACATACATACATACATACATACATACATACATACATACATACATACATACATACATACATACATACATACATACATACATACATACATACATACATACATACATACATACATACATACATACATACATACATACATACACTAATGAATCCTGTGGACAGAATAAACACAGAGAGTCGTTGATTGGTATACTGTACACATACAGTAGCACACCCACTAAGTCAAACCTAAACCCACACTGTCTCCAGACAGGCAGGGCTTCCTCACTAAAGCAGTTGACTAATAGATTGTTTGCTATGTGTCAAGAGCTAAGATATGATCTTTGATGTAAGCCTTAGGAAAACTTGTATTGATATCATCCTTCATCCATTCAGCAGGGTGGTCTTGGCTGTGTCTGGGATCCTGTCCTATGTCTGTGTGGTGACAATGTGGGATCTAACTATGATCTGGAAAGGAAGTCCTAGAGCCAGCCAACGTTAAATAAGAGTTAAATAGGAGATGATCATGAAAAGGACATCTGAATGAAGCATCTGTAAGACTGAACAGACAACCACCATTTAAGGAGATATCAGATGTGGATGGTTTTGAGGTTCCTTTTGAAACATTTCTCAGAAGGAAATTACAGTCTTTGGTCTTGCCATGAAATCATTAACAGAACAATTACCTATTATATCGTAATTGATTCTTGAGGCTGAATATTCAGACTCACTGAAGCCAAGTCCAACAAGCTGTGTGCTATCCAATACCAGCAGAGACACACTTGCCAGCCAGGCAGTCAGAGTGGGTGTGTTTCCAAACCCAAGGGAATGGAGTTTACGGTAAGAATTCAGGAAAAAAGCAGCACATAAAAATGTGTAGTTATTCCTCGGCTAGCTGTGTTCTGAAGGTCATTCTGTGGTTGGTTCTAGAACCCTGTGTGCTCCTTCAGAGACTTTCAGAGACAGAGAGAGTAAACACTCCTACAAATAGCATCTCACCAGAACAATACGACCACATCCTATTGCTATGCTGTAGCTACGCACACACACACACACATGCACACAAACACTAACACATGCACACACAGTTGCACGTACGCACATAAACTGCGTTTAAGGCTTAAGTCAGAAGTTTACAGTATGAGAGTTAAAATGAAATTAACCCGAATGAAAATAACAAAATCCCTTTTTCTCTCATCCCCCTTTTGACACAAAACAGCATTCAACACACATACACATTGTTTGCTATTCCATGATCCCTCTATCCCTCTGTCCCTCTTTCACCCGGTCAGTTTTCTACATCTGTGTGTGTGTGCGTGTGCGTGACAAGCAGATTAAGGTCCAACGGACAGGCTTTAATCCTGCAGTAGACCACATGATGATACGCCTCCTCCTGTCTGTCAGCCTAGAAGGAGATCAGGACAGGGATTGGATGGGTGATGTCATAAACATCAAGAATCTCCAGGAAGTCACCCTGCACCAGGAGTCAAAAGGAACTGAATGGAAGTGAGTTTTCATTGAATGAAACTGAATGAATGTGTTTGAATGGATTTGCTCTTGTGTTATGCACATTGGTGTTGATTTCACTACAGTATATGGATGATTTGGAGAAACAGAGCTGGATCTTTTCTTACAGTTACGCTGCACAGTATCAAGTACATGGGCCTGTTTTGCATACAGGGACATTTCCTCCAGACACATCTTGCTGAAATAAACAGAATGTCACTTTGCAAAAAATAGTTGTCCAAACATTGTCCTCTCCTACCCTGTTTGCTGTGCTCATGGAAAGAGATTTGCACCGTACAGTACTGGGGTTGAACTGAGCTCAAGTTACTCCTCATTGTGTCTATTTCAATAGCCTTGCACTTTCCAAACCAATCTTTCTCCTACTCTCCCTCTCTCTCTCTTTCTCTTTCTCTTTCTCTCTCTCTTTCTCTCTATTTCTTTCTTTCTCTCTCTCGTTCTCTCTTTCTCGTTCTCTCTCTCTCTCCCCATCTTTCCTTCCTTTTCTCTCCATCTCTTTTTCTACCTCTCTCATTTCAACCTTCCTTGCTCGAGTACAGAAATACCAAGCTGTATTTTTTGACATTATAATTGACACTTCCTTCACCGACTGTTTCCCTGTGTCTCAAAATAGCTAATTTTTTATGTGAAACAATCACTCTATTTAGAACTCAGGATAAGGTCAGTGTAACTTTACAGAGCCCAATCCCACCTCTTCTCATGTCAGCTTGACAGAGTATTGTAGAGGAGCTCTGCTTTTTTATGCTTTATGGACCATGGACAAAGCAATGGGCCTGAAATCATCTCAGTTCAAACAGTGATGATATTTATTATCTTTTGTCATGAAAATGGACTTCTGTGTTATGCATGTTTGGCTGAAATCAATATTTGATGTGTTGGAAAAATCTAACCTCAGTGAACCCGTCATCTGCTCTTAGATAAGTCCTAGTTATGCCCCCTCCCCCCTATGTGACATCATCAGAGGTCTGTGTAGTGGGTTTTGATCTGTGCCAGATGTTACAGCCATATCTATCTCTTTGTGTGTGTGTGTGTGTGTGTGTGTGTGTGTGTGTGTCCTCCAGCGATGGATGACCTCATTTTGTCGCTTCCTTTTTGCGAGTGGTGCCGTGTTGTGTGTGTTGTGTGTTGTGTGTGTGTGTTGTGTTGTGTTGTGTGTGTGTTGTGTTGTGTGTGTGTTGTGTTGTGTGTGTGGGTGTTTATTGTGTTGTGTCCCTCTTCCAGGGCCTTCCCCTCGCTTTGTTTGACTACAACACACGCTCAGACTAGCTGCAAAAAAACACATCTGCCTAACAACAGTGTGTATAACAGAGAAAACAGCCACAGAAGGCACAATAAAAGTATGACCTACAGCAGGGATGGGCAGCTTTGATGGGGCCACAAAAAAACATAACTTATTATGAGGGGCCGCAGTGACTCGTGGGTCTGCGTACCCAAAATTGCTGACATGGCTAATTGAGTTACTGTTGATGCACAACCAAATTGCACCTTGTGTATTCTATTATTCTAACTCTCATCAGTAAGTTGAGACCCCGACTGAGTTCGATTTGTTTGTTTATGGGCCTACAAAAGGGGGGCTGCGGGCCGCATGCGGTCAGTTGCCCATCCCTGACCTACAGTAAAGAAGAGGGTGCACTCATTGGCACAACTTAAAGTCGATTGTATTTGTAGTTCATCTCGTTATCATATTGGAAAGAGAATTTATGGAGTTTTTAAGAAGTTCAAACAAGAGGTCACATTTTAGTTTGACTCTACTAAGGTTTACCCACATTTTGGACTAAATGTTCCATAAACCACCCACACCATCATCATCCCCAACAGCAAAACCAAGCCAAAATATGATCTGAAAAAGAGAAAATACAGTAATCTTTTTTGTATTCCAACTCATTCTACTATTGACATATGTCACCAAGTTTAATCTGGTATTACGGGTCCATTCTATTTACCTCAATCCTCAGACCCAGTGGTCAACCAGGAAACAGGGGGAGGAATAAGCTTTTGACTAAAGACTTCTTCTCTTTTTTCATAAAGCCCAATCCTGACGTAAATTCATGTGCATAACTCAAATTTAAACCCAAATCCCATGCACATCAATACAAGATTTATGAGAACGCCTGTTGTGTGCGTTCCTCAAGTTAAGATCCGGTCTATAATGCATTATGTATTGCTAGGGAAGTAGAGGCAGAATCAGAGTTCTCTATTGCACAAACCACAACCAAGCTAGCACAGACCATTCTCAACCATTATTTGACCAGGGTAAGTTAACCATACCAGAAGCCCTGTGGTAGAGGTGCCCTTGATAGTCATGGCGCACCGCCTGGTTAGCGCGACACTCTGTGGTGCACATGCTCGGAAATACCTCACATTCCTCCTGAGAAACCAGGCAGTTCCGCCCCACTTCATCCCACTCAGTTCTGCTTCTGGTGGCGTGAACCGTGATAGTGTGGCATGGCTGTACAGCTACAGAACCAAAACCACTCTGCAAGCCTGATTCAGCTACAAGGCTTTTGGGAAACTCACCCCCTAGGCCTCTGTTATTGAACCATAGCCATGAAAATGCAGGCGTCACAAAAGACCAGCTGTTTTCACAATAACAGTTCTCAGCAGTCCAATGGAGAATATCCACACGCATAAATTAAGCCCTCAAACATCAACAGTTTCAGTCATTCATTGTCCTGGGCTGGTTCAATACTGTATGTAAAAATCACAGAAGTGTAAAGGCTTGCTATGCTGAACCCCTAGGTAC